CGAGACTGACTATCCTCCTGCCTCAGCCTCCTGCCCCATCAGAGTCCTGCTGACTTCTTGATCTCAGACCTTTAGGTTCCAGAACTGTGAGAAAGCCAGTTTCTGTTTTAGACACTGAGTCTGTGACAGCTGGAGAAAACTGCTGCTTCTCTCCAACATGCACTTCCAGGGGCCCAGATGCATCGCACCTTGTTTTTTTTTTTTTTTGTCTTTTTGAGACAGAGTCTTGCTATGCCCACACCACACCTTGGACCAGTCTAGCAACCCCACACCGTCCTTGCAAGAGCACACATCCGGGGCCAGGCATGGTGTCATCCCGGCACCTGGGAGGCTGAGGCAGCCGCAAGTTCGAGGCCAGCCTGGGCTACATAGGGAGAGCTTGTCTCAAACACAGGTGCGCTTGTGCACACACACACACACACACACACACACACACACACACACGCAGTGCTGAAGTCCTAACGCCCAGCACTTGTGCATGACCTCTGGGAACAGGTGATCCTGGGACCCTGTTGGTGCAGGGCGGCTCTGAGCCAATACCTGCGGCGCTGTCACCCACGCAGCCGGGAGTGCGTACGGGGCGGGGTTAGGGTGGAAGCAGAGACGCAGGAGAGAAGGGGATGTGGAAAGCACGGCGGGGGCAGTGTCCACCCCCAGCTCCCCGCGATGAGCGTGGTCAGTCTGCGCCGCAGACCTGCAGGAGTGAACACGTGCAAAACTAGACGATGCGCGGAGACGGGCGGAACACCCCCAAGCCAGCAGCCGGCACAGCCCGGACCCGCGGAGGCTGGGAACCCAGCGGGAACCAGCGCTGTCCACACAGGGAGACCTAAGCGCCTGCTGCCCGAGCACTGCCCGCTTCCCGCCACTCTGCTCTCGCGGCCCCTGCGGATGAGACCCAGGGTGGGGCCCCACGCACGCTGCCTGCTGGGCGGGGGCTGCAGTACCAGGCACAGCGCCCAGGGGGCGCAGCGAGCGTCAAGGAGGAGACTCACAAACCGGCACCCCTGGCAGGGCGCCCCGCTGCCCCAGGCTCGGGATCCAGGCACCGCTCTCCCTCCGGAGGGAGGCAAGGGAGGGCCCAGTCACCGCTGTGAGAAGCCCCAGAGCTGGCTGGACACACCCCACGCCCACTGGCGGCCCCTTGTCTTGGGGACCCTCCCCACCCTCTGGGCAGGAAGCTGAGGCAGAAAGGTGTGGGCACTCAGAGGCGGCCTCAGAGGACTGAAGTGTTGCTGGCCTGAAGAGCGGCCAGCCTGCCAGCAAGGGGACAGGGACGTTTTGAAATCTCAGTGCAGTTTATGACAGGCAGGCCGGGGACGTGGTCCAAGAGCAAGGATAAATATCTGCCAGGCGCTGGTTAAACCTCCGTGACACAGCCTGGCTCAGGCGCTGCCCGGACCCCCGCCAGCTCGCTGGGCCTGCCTTGGCCCGCCCTGCTGACTCAGCCCTCCCAGCTGTCCTCACGGGAGCCAGGGACCCAGCAGAGCGGCGGCAGGTAGGCGGCCACGGGGCCCACGGGCCTGTGCAGCCCCGTTCCCTCAGTACTAGCCAGGCTCACCCCAGGGGACCCACGCTCCCCTAACACACGGGGAAACAGTCCATAGCTGGGCAGTGGACCTGCTTCAAAGAAAACGGCCAAGCAGAGCAAGCGTGGATTCAATGAGCTTCTCTGCCCGCCTCTCCGCCACCCCCCTGCCTAGGCTTTTCTGTATCATAACTGTTTGTTGAGGGTGCCTTACACACAGTTTTGCTAAGCTGCCGCAGCGGGCCTCCAACTTAAGATCCTCCTGCCTCAGCCTCCGAGTGCTGGAATGACAGGCACATGTCACCAGGCTTGGCTCCCGCACTCGGCCCTGGTGTCGACCTGGTTCCCCCTCCCAGACCAGAGCATGGCCCAACAGGTCCCACAGCCGGACTGAGCACACTTGTCTGACACAGAGCCCGAGGGGAGGAAGGCACGGCAGAGCAGAGAGGAGGAGCGTGCAGACCCTGCCTGTCTGTCTGTCTGTCTGTCTGGGATGGGGCTCCCGGTGCGTCCTTCCCAGGAAGAGCGCTGAGGCTGCTCTGTGCATCTGCCCGGGTGGAGCCTGGGGAAGGGGACAGGTTGGGCGCCCTCAGCCGGGGCCCAGCGTCCCACACCCTGAACTTCTGCCCTTTGCACACTGAATTTCAGGGGATCCCTGGTCACTGTGGGGTGCTGGGGTTCCCTGTCCTCCCGTCCAACAGGGTGCCAGCAGGGGCTCTGGAGCCCCGCCACGGGAGCAGAACTGTCCCACAGAGGGGACATCCTCTCCGGAGAGCTCGGCGAGGTTGAAGCACTCCCAGCAGCCCTTATGAGGCCCCTCACACCAAGTGCTTTCCCCGAGGCCGCCAGCCGCCACCCTCGGCCACCCTGCCGGCTCCCGGGCCAGATCCCTGCCTGTCTGGGCTTACCAAGTCACTAAATTGCCCAGGCTGGGCCGAGACTGACTATCCTCCTGCCTCAGCCTCCTGCTCCCTCAGACTTCTGCTGACCTCTTGATCTCAGGCCTTTAGGTTCCAGAACTGTGAGAAAGCCAGTTTCTGTGTTTTAGCCACTGAGTCCCCCCTTTTTTGTGTGTATCTAGGGCCTTCACTCTGAGCTACTTCCAGTCCTTTATTTATATTTTAAGACAGGGTCTCGCTAAATCACAAAGTTGCCCAGGCTGGGCTTGAACTGCAATCTTCCTGCCTCAGCCTCCCCAGAGTGCTGGGATGACAGACATGTGCCACCACACCCAGCGTGATGTTTTGCCCACACAGAGCAGAGACTGGCTTGGGCTGAGCGCAGGGCCTTCAGAGCTGAGGCAGTGTGGGGAGGTATGCAGGGGGCCTCCACAGCCTCTTGCCAGGGGAGCTGGGCCAGAGGGTGAGGCACCCCACCTTGCCATGCTCATTAGCCGGAGTCCCCTGGACCCCCCACTTTGCAGATGGGGAGGAAGACTGGGCCCAAATGGGGGCTGAGACGACTCCAGGGCCGGCTCTGAAGTGGGGAGCAGGAGGGATTTCTGTTTCCCCCAGAGTGGCACACAGGGGTGTGACACCCACAGGGAGGATGGGGCAACGCTGGTGGCCTGAGTCCTGTGAGCGCTGCGTCCTTTGACATGAGGGAAACAGGAAGCAAGCAAGAGCTAAAGAAAGGCACAGCCAGGTGTGGCGGCGCACGCCTGTAATCCTAGCACTGGGGAGGCTGAGGCAGGAGGAGCTCTAGCCCAGGCAATGTTAAGAGCAGAAGGGGGCCCAAAGACACAGCTCAGTGCAGGAGGATGAAAAGTTCATACAGGCCGGGTGTGGTGGTGCGTGCCTATAACCCCAGCCCTCGGGAGGCTGAGGCAGGAGGATCACTGCAAGTTTAAGGCCAGTCTGAGCTACAAAGTGAGTTCAAGGCCTGAACTGCACAGTGAGACCCTGTCTCAAAAAGACAAAAAAAAAAAAAAAAAAAAAAAGACAGACAAGACTTGCATCGCGGAGACACGACGTCTGCCCATCCCACGTGGGACTGGCATGGCCCACGGGTGCCAGGCCTGCCTCCACCCAGGCAGGAAGTCCCCTGGCTCCCGTACTGCCCCTGCCTTCCTCCAAGGCTCACCCCCCGGTTCCCTCGGGCGGCCCCGCGTGACCCCACCTTGTCACTCCGCCCAGCCCTGTCGGTGTGGCCTCCCAGCTCCGTGGGTCTCCGCAGCCCTCACGCCTCCTCTTGCCTCTGGCTCCGCCCTTTGGACACTCACCTGCGTCCCCCACGCGGCAGGGCCTCTACTGCCCGGGGACCCGCCACACCAGCCCCGAGCTCGAGGCAGGCCAGGGAGGCGGCCCGAGGGGTCGTGGAATGAATGGACGAGCTGGTGTTCCCTGACGCACCAGGCTCGGTGCGAGCGCTGAGTGGCTCTGAGGAACAGCTGCCAAGGCGGATGCAGGGGGGACGCCGCCGTGGCGGTGCCCTGCGTCCCGGCCACCTCCGCACACTCATCCTGCAGCCGGAGCGGCCCAGCCACGCCCAGCGTCTGTCAGTGCGGAGCTGCAGTTGCTCCGACTTGGAAGGGACCTTGGAGGTCACCGTGTCCCTTCTGGAGCGGCCCTGACAAGTCAGCCTCCGTCCTTTGCTCAAGCACGCCCGAGTCGGCGAGCGCCTACGTCACAGGACAGGGCACCGGGGTCGGCCAGCGCATGCACCTGGGCTGAGCCTGTCTTGTTTCTATCGTTTTGTTTGTTTTTTGAGACAGCATCTTGCCATGTAGCCCAGGCTGGTCTTAAACTCACAGCAATCCTCCTGCCTCAGCCTCCAGAGTGCTGGGATGGCAGATGTGTACCAGTCTCTCTCTCTCTCTCCCTCTCTCTCTCCCCTTACAGCGCGGGGCCCCACACCTGCTGACACCCTCTACCACCAAGCCGTCCTCAGCCTGGGAGAGGCGTCTTGAACCGTGGGTGCTGTGTGCCGCTGTCCCTCCTGCCCTACCCAGCGAGAACAGGAAATCCCTGAGCAACACCACAGGTGCCAGCTCGGGCCACCCACAAAGCTGTGGCGTCACCAAGATACCCAGGAATAACACAGCCCTGAATGCCGACCCCACACACAGCACCCGAGCCTTCCCACGCCCCTGCCAGCGCCCCCTTCCTGGCGGCGACCCTGGGCAGCCACGGGCACGGTGCCTCTCTGGGTTGTGAAGGCTGGGCAGGGAGGCGGGGAGGCCCCTCCTGTGCCCGGGTCACACGGTGGGGGTGGGTGGGGGGACGGGGACAGCCCATGTGGTGGCTCGCTCCAAGCCGTCCCCTTCCTCTAGGCTGGGTGCCGCCCAAAGCCCTGCCCAAGGTCCGCAGTGACCCCAAAAACAGAGAGCTGAGGTGTCCCCACCCCCTCGCAGAGTGAGAATTCAGACAGTGTCTTGCTAAATTGCTCATGTTCGCGTCAAACACACAATCCTCCTGCCTCAGCCTCAGTCCCCTACTGAGCACAATTCCCCTTGTCCTTGTCTGCTGCTGCTCAGAAAATGACCCGGCCTCCAACTGCAGCCGGGAGTACCCAACCTGGCCCCCTCGGTTCTCACACAGGACCTGCTCTTCCTGTCCTCGGAGCCCCTCCCCCGCCAAGGATGAGGAAGTGGCTCCACCACGCAAGGGGACAGGGAGCAGGGCCTCGCTGGCCGCTGCCGGGCGAGTCCCCCCCCCCCAGCCTCAGTTTCCCACGTGTGCAGCAGGGCGACGGAGATGTCCTCAGCAGGTGGCCTGTGAGCAGCCCGCAGCAGGCCTGGGTGACAGCACAGGGCCCTGAGTCAGGTGTCCCTGCTCCCTCCTTCACGAGGAGGTGCCGGGGCACAGGCAGCCAGGGCTGGGACTCGGACAGAGCTGCGGCGCCCGGCCCGCGCTGCGCCCTTTCCTGGTCCCTCGCTTCTCGGACAGCCCGGGAGGTGTGGTGTCCACGAGACCGCAGGGACGGGGTCCATGTTCACCCGCAGTGCCCGCAGGGGCCGGGGCCACATCAGGTGAATCCTGGGGCCTGGGTCTGGGGGCGTGGGCAAAGCCCCAGCCCAGGCCACCCGCCCCTGCTCCCACGGAAAGGAGGGCTCCCTGGGGCGCCCACCGGGCCCCCTGCCCCTCCCCCACCTTCGCCGCCTAAAATAGCCCAGCACCCTGTGCCCAGGGCAGCTCCGCTGCTGCAAATCCCCTGAAATCAAATCCCCACCCTGCCCCGAGCAGGACGCAGGAGCAGGACACGGGGCAGCACCACCTCCTGCCACGCCGGGCTCAGCGGGACGCGGGCGTCCTTCAGGGTGACCCGGCGCTAAATCCCCACCTAATGAAGCAGGTGCTGGGGACACGGAGCCGGACTCCGTGCTAATTCGTTTGCTTCAGGGTGGAGACGGTGGCGCTGGGGCCAATACGACATCTCCGCGGTGCCGGGGAGGTTGGGGTCAGCTCTTCCCTCCAGATCTGGAAACACGGGCAACCGCGGAGCTGGGACGGAGCCTCCTGGCCGTGCGATGGGGTGTGCACAGCACTGGCACCCGACTCCCAGCTCCCCATCACCCCGCTGCCACGGAAAACACACAGCAAAGACCCGCCCGCAGCCGGGCCGCGGCCACAGTGACGGACGGCAGGAAGAGCTTCCTCACAGCCGTGCCCACGGCACAGAACGAGAAGGAAGACAAACAGGCTGGGCAGTTTGCCGAGAGCCTCGCCGGGGTCCCTCTCCGGCCGGGCATGATGACTGGTCCTTCCAGCTGATTGGGAGGCTGAGGCAGGAGGACTGCGTGTTTGATGCGAACATGAGCAATTGAGCAAGACACTGTCTGAGAATAAAATCTAAAAACAGGGTGGGTCTTCTCCGTGAGTTCAGTCCCCAGTATTGACACACACACACACACCCTCCAGCTCAGAGCTGTATCCAACTTGCGCTTGTCTCCAGTGCATCGGAAATCATTCCCATCTCCTCCGCTGGCTCGGCAGAGCTGCCTGCGGGACACAGCAGAGGCCCGTGTGACTGGGACACGGCCTCCACAGCAGCAGCCTGTAGTCAGCTTGTGGGGGACTTCCTGTATTGCCTCAGAAGAGAAGCAAAGGGCTGGGCCGGGTCCTCACTGGGAACTTGGTCCCCTCCGTTGTTTTTTTTTAATTTTTATTTTGTCTCACTATGCAGTTCAGGCTGGTCTTGAACTCCCTATGCAGCTCAGGCTGGCCTCAAACTCACAGTGATCCTCCTGCCTCAGCCTCCCGAGTGCTGGGATTGCAGGTGTGTGCCACCAGGCCTGGCCTGAGCTTTGGTGGCATGAGTTTGTCCAGCAGGACCCTCCCAGGCCTGCCCACCAGCCTGAGGAGGCGCCAGGCCACCTTCACCTCAAAAGGTGGAAGCAGAGGAGGCCAGGAGGACCCTGAAGATCAGGGTCACCTGGGCCCAGCGGGGGACAGCCTCAAGCCCAGGGGCAGCCACAGCCACCTTGCTGGGCTGGGGGCAGCTGTGGCCACATCAAGGCAAGGTCCACTCTGATCTGCCCAGTGGTGGACACGTCCAGCCACCATGGGCCCAGGAAAGGGGACTTTGGCTCAGCAAGGGGCCCCGGAAATGCCCAAGGAGGGGCTGTGTCCACGTGTCCCATGCCCCAGCCCCAGGAGGGTCCGGCATGGGTGTCGTGGATGAGGCCAGTCCTGCCTGGGGCGCTGGACGACGGCCACTCACTAGACTCCTGGGCGCCTGAGAAAAATCCAGCCGCCGAGCCCAGGCTTGGTTTGGGGCGTGGCCTGGGACTTAAACCCCGCCACAACATTCCCTGTCCTTGTCTCTTCCCTCAGTTCCGGGGGCTGAGCCCAGGCCCTCTGCACTCAACTAAGTCCTGAGCCCTTTTATCAGATTCTGAGGTGGGTGTCACCAAGTTCCTAACTGCACAGGCTGGGCTGGAACTTGCAATCTTCCTCCCGCCGCCTCCCACAGTGCTGGGCTTGCCTTCTGCCCAGGGGACTCATGGGCCGCTCGGGCCAAGAAGCGAGAGCCCCCAAGTATCCCAGGGCAGCCTGGGCGCTGCCCGCCACGGAGCGCTGCGTCCTGGGACTCGGGCCCTGGCACCCCTCGCCCCCCCACTGTGGTGTTCCAGGTGACACGCGTGTCCGGCCACCCCACCCTGGGCCCCACAGCACAGGTCACCCAGCCCGGCACCCTGCAGGCCTGGCTCAGCAGCAGACAGGGGGACAGGGCTGTGACCGGTACGGCTGGCCTGGCCTCTGGTCCAGGATGGCTCTGAGGAGTCTGACTGCCCCTCCCGGCCCTCCTGATGCTGCCCGGGGTGCTAAGACCTCATGCGGGGGGCAGGGGACAGTTCTGTCCCCAAAGCAGCACTGGCCCAGGGAGCAGGACTCAGAACCCCACACCCGCCTCCGGGCCGGTCTTGGGAAGGACCTCGCTGAGTTCCAGGAGCGGTTTCCTCGCCGCGTTGGCTGGGACGCTTCCTAGCTTTGTGACCTGGGGCACCTCTGACCTGGGCGGTCAGTCGGTCACCCGCCCAGGTCTGGGCCGCCAGCCAGGTCTGTGCGGCTGGGATTCAGGTCCCGGCCGGAGGTGGTGATGCGCAGCTGTCATCCCAGCACCTGGGAGGCTGAGGTAGGAGGGCAGCCTGGGCTACAGTAGTGAGACCCTGTCTCAAAACACCAAAACAAAGAAGAGGAGGAGGAGGGAGGAATAACCCAGACCCCGCTCTGCGGTGAGGGGCGGAGGCCGGAGGACAGGGCGTGACTGAGCCCCGCCACCCGAACCTCCTCTGGCTCCCTCGCTCCAAGCCCCGCCCCCAGGCGCCTGGCCTGTCCAGGTGGGCGCAGTGCCCCAGGCCCACAGAGGCCCTTTGTGCAGGGCAGGGCCACACCCTGGAGCTGACAGGCGCCCTGTGTCTGCGGGGCTCCCGGCCAGGTCTGTGGCCACAGCAGCTCCGGCCACATGACAGAGGTGGGCAGTCCCTGCCCTCCACCCTCGGTGGGGCGCCCGGGCACGTGGGGTGGGGGGCACCCCCAATCCAGGTTCCAGCCTGCGCCCTCCTCCCCCAGCCTTCTTCCGGTCCTCCTCCCTGTTTCGATCCGGGAACAGCCCCCTGACTCGGCCTTCCTGCCTCCACTCCCCACCTCCGCTCCCTCAACGTTCTCCTCACAGAGCCTGGACAAACCCTTTAGAGGGCAAGCACACCCAGCCAGGGCACACGCCTGTCACTCCAGCACTCAGGAGGCCGAGGCAGGAGGATCGTTGCAAGTTCGAGACCAGCCTGGGCTACAAA